GTTGATTTTTAACCACTGGGTCACAGTTCCAAACACTGCCCCACCTATCGAGGTGTGGACAACCAGGTAGTAAAGACTGCAATAATTGTTGTTTTATGCATGAACATAGATTTAATTAATACTGGGTAATGGCTAGCAGTGGATTTTAGGACTCATGTCTCATCCTATTCGGGGCTCATCAACTGGATGTACCTGCCTCCAAGTGAGCAACAACTTAGATTTAGTTGTTGGGTTGTAGTTGAGCCAACAGTGCCGGATATATTTCCACAAAATATATCATCACCACTGTGTAGCATCAAGTGGATTCACATAAGATAAAGCTGTAAATTACGCGATAGCTCGAGGTTTTAACTATCTCTTAAGTTATGCAGCTCAGTGTAAAAACATTAAGTTAAGGTATATAGTCATCCTGTAAGATTACTAAAATTAGATTCACCACTTGAAGGTGTCATCAGCTTCAGTTCATAATGTCTACATTTTCATAAACCACAGAATTTTACTTCTGTTAACGTTACCGTAATTAGCATAATTAATGCATAAACTGTTTGATTATAAAACTGAATTTCCAGGATTACCTCCCTTGCTTAGAAGTTCATTTAGATAATCTGCAAAACATTGGTAGTGATTGTACTCTTCGAAATCTGTTAAAGTCTAGGTGATCATCTGACTCAGTGGTAAATATGGGTCGACTATAGAAACTATTGGCGATCATACGATACAGTCCCTATTTCTTCTCTTATGGAAAGCTAAAACGAAGGTAAAGTAAGTGTCTTATGTGTCGTCTTCAGTGGCTTTTTCCTCTTTTTACATTGGTTTTGCAGTTTCCTTTGTTTCCTCCATCTTTAACACATGTCCCAAATTTCTTATGATGTTTTGTATGACACATTCCATGGTGCTTACTTTCTCATGAGTTTGCGCTTAAAGTGAAGGAAACAACAAAATATTAACAACTGTTAATCATTGAAGCGGATATAGACAGTTGAGTGATTGAATTTCAATTCTTTCTTTACCGACTGAGACAGCTGCAGTATATTAAGTGGTCAGTGGCAAGGTAACCAACTCCGGGTTGTCACTTCTATCGCTCGTTTTGCACTTTTCCTACCAAGCCAGGAGACTTGTAGTTTTGATGCGCTGGAATAGATGTCAGTATGATGGTGGTTGTAGGCAGAAAGCCTTATCTGAAGTTAGTTTCGTGCTTATTGTTACTTGTCAGGAAGGGATATCAATGATCTTGACGGAACTGATGTCTTGCCTGAAGTTCAACCTGCTTCATTCTGTGGTGAAGTCAGAGAGGTTACTAATGAGCTATTCGCAGTAAGATTTTATTAGCATGATGATCTGTTGCAAAATGCTCGATACAGCTCCGTCAGACCATAAGAGTAAGCAACATGAAGTCAGTTACCATTCTGTGACTACTCAGTGCACCTAATTCAGTTTTACAGGAGGTCAGTCGCGGCCTAAATAGCTCAGTGGTAGCGTCTATGACTTCGACAAAGGGTGGCGCCAGTTGGAGTCTTTAACGAGAAATCTCTTCCGTCGAGGTTCCAAATGTACTTTGGTGATGAGTGCGAGTAAGTGCAAAACCCATGTCAGGCAGGACTTCCTACCGATTACTTTCGCCATCTGATATCAGTCAAAATGCATCTTGATAGATAATCTCGTAGCTTAGATCCTCACATTATAAAAATGATCTGTAAAATCCAGTCAACATTTGGGAATACATAACATTAAACAGGTTATTTTCCAGTGACTGATCAGTGTATATTAAAGATATATTTAAGGTTGGCTACTCTCATCTATGAGGTTACTACAAGAGTCCACAAGTCTTTTGAAAACCGTAGTTTTGTTGAACATCATCAGTGTTGCAATTTAATCTAACCTGAAAATTTACATGATCGTAGTTATGATGATACAGTCAAGCTGCTTAGTTAAAAGATTACAATCCCTTCCTCAAAGTTAAAACATGTTCATTTGGTAATCACTGAACGCAATGTATTTTCAATGCAATTGGTATTTGGAATTTTAATTGATGACAGCATAATCATTATGATTTACATTTTTTTTCCTGAATCGGTTCCTCTAACATTATATTTCAACTACTAATTCGTCCTAAACAAAAGAGAAAACTGACCTTGAATGGTTCTGTTGATGACTGCCAATCATATTAATTCATTTTGGAGGTCACACTAACTATGATTTGCAAACTTCCAATCAAGTACTAAGTACTACATTTGTCACATTTTTTTAACACATCTAGTGATGGAGAATTGTTACAATTTCTCCGAGCTTTAGGGTTTATTTCTTAAAGTCTCATCATCAACCTAGATGACATGATCAGTATTCATTTCACTTGTTTATAAAGTATTTGCCAATGTAGTTGTCTAGCCTAATGAAGTATCACCGGAGAACAAACCTTCAAGCTCAAAAAACCCCAAAAATTAGCAATCTTCTTTACCCTGAACTAAAAGTCTTCTCTGTTATCTCAAAAATATCCAGTGATTCTCGACATTTAATTTTTTACCATTTTAGTGATAAATTAGTGCAGACGATTGTTACATCACGGTTTAGGTGTTATATGGGTGAGACTCCCCTTTAAAATAGTGATATATATCTCCTATGAGAAGTCTGCAAACATGGTGAATCTAATATAAAGCGAAGGTAACATATATAACATCTTTATCATTGAAGCTGCAGCGCTGCTGTCTTCAAGTATTCATTCCATTACATAACAGTGTTTAAATGACAACAATTTTCAGAAGTTAAACACATCACTCCATTTGAACACTGAAAACAAGCAGTAAAGAAGGAAAACAATGGCCTTATTTTGAAAGCTTTTTCGAGAATACTCAACAGAAATTTCAACATATCATATAGCATATGTTAGACATACACAGTATATATATATATATATAATATATATATATATATTATATATATATATATATATACAGCTAAATGATTAGTAGAACTACATTAACAAAAGAGAAGATTTCAACCTATATACAACTTTCTTCAAATATACAGTCAATCTAGGCAGACAATCATATTAACCAAAACTAGATTCATAATACATAAATAGTAGTATCATCATCATAATATTATATTTCCTTTGGGTTCAGAGTACAACGAAGGGCTTCAGTGGCACACCTGCATTACACTCTCTTCTCTACAGTCTTTAAAACCTCACACCACAACTCCACACAAGCTGCTTTCATTTCTTCCAAACATCATCTACTCCATGTCACCTTCAACTGAGATGCACAACTCATCGTTTCACATTTACATTCCACTCTATGACCTGACCTCGTATCGCCTCGCCTAGCCTCACCTGGCATGGCATGGCACGTGATATCCTCAATCAATCCTCCCACTGTATGCCACATTCAATTCATCTCAAATTTCGACCACTGCATATTTCTTCGGTGATACGTTCCGGCTTCGTCGACTCACTCACACACCAGACTTACTCGCTACTCATTCTCCTTATTCTCGCCATCTCATCTTCACTATCCAGACAGAGTAGGAGGCAGCTGTTCATCTGATGCATGTCTGTAGTTTGTTGGAAATGCCTTCCATGACAAACACCAAGTTTCTCAACCACCACATAGAATCACTTGACTGACTTGACTGAATTCGTCTTCAAAATCAGGATGTTGTTCACTCTTCATGCTGAGTGGAGTGTAGTACATCTCCACACTGATTTCAGATGAGTGAAAGCCTGTCTTGCTGTATCTCCAATACCGGTCTCCACATCCTCGTCTGTGCTGCGTGAAGTTGAAATGATGCTGCTCTACCTAGTTAGGTGTGAGTGAAAGAGACTACTTCGTTTAGCTTTCTACAAATTAATGGTGATTGGTGCTTGTTGTTGATGCTGTTATTGTCGTTGTTGTTTGGGTATCTTCATCACCTGTGTCTTCTCCACATTCACTTGAAGTCCCATTTTCGCTGCTCTACCTACTCTGTCAACCTGTCACTTTTCCCCTGTAGATCTCTACATCGAGTTTCTGCGACAACACATTAGACATAAATCATCATCATCATCATCATTGGCGACGAAATAGTAGTAATATACTCATCATCAATTAATTTGCTTTCAATTACGGAAGTTGATTAGTCACTACACTTACAATGCTCTCTTCATCTCACACCAGACGAGCTAAATACTTACAGTATTGTAGATTTTTCAGATATTTTGTAGTACATATATAAAGTGTGATTTACTTGCTCCTTGTCTTTCCAGATGAGACACACACACAGAGAGGTTTGAGTGAAGGTGATGCTGGTCATATGATAAAACAACTCCTACTAGATGTGCCTGTCCACGACTATTTCAACTACAAAGTTTAGAAATACACCACTAGGTCCACTAACAACTAGTGAAGAGTATGTTGGTCATCTGATGAAATAAATCCTACCAGATGATTACATCAGTGTATATGTTTGTCTGTGACTATGTTGATTAGAAGGCTTAAAGATACACCATGAGTTCCACTGACAATCTTCAAAGTTCTACACCATTCATGAGTCATTTTTCAGTGAAGGAGAAAAGAATGAAGGGGAATAATATTGGAGAATAGACAAGATGCAGGAGTTTGAAAAACATCAGAGGAGATGCTTAGTTATACGAGATACTGTCAACTTCCTACTGTCGAAAGTTGGGTTGAAAATTCTATTTGAAATTAGTAAGATATCGGAGGATGAGGAATGATTCGAAGAAGATGACGCATGGGGAAATAAATCACACTTCTAAGATTTTCTCTGGTGTATATTTATCAACAGAATAGGAATGATGAGTACTAAGCAGTTTACATAGATTATGTTCTCGTCTAAGTGTTCAATTTTCGATGTGTTTAGTATTGAATAGTATCTACTGTGTACTTTGATATCATATATCTGACATCTTTGCATATCAAACCATATTCGTTTCATAACTCGATACATAGTGCTTATTATTACATATTTATAATATGAAACTGATTATTGGTATAAACTGTGTAATCCTGATTGGTTAGTCAATAAGATATCATTTATAACCTTGAAACTATTATTTTAAAACTTTATACAACATTAATAACATTGTTCAATAATGCTTGAATCTAAACAACATTGGAACCGTTCAACTCTATACATATTAAATTATGTCAACAACGATTGATTGTGTATATAGCATGGATAGAATGAATAATTTAACGTTTATAAGGAAAACACCTTATAAAACTATAATAATCATTCTGACAACTTTAATACTGATTCTTTTCATTAAACGGTATATTACACATTAACAATATAATGGATAATCTATTTTAAGGAATAATTTTCAAAATAATAAAAAACTAGCCAAAACAGTCAAGATCTATTCAACATTTGATGATTTAAAAAGGTGAGTTACTAATTTCTTCAATGTTTAACTAGTTGAATTTTTTTTTTTCCTTTGATTTTTCTAGAGATTTCTTAAGGGGAAGATTGAAGTTGAACACAAGTAAAGTTAGTTTTTAGTTACTTATAAATTTATTATAAGATTAAAACCTGAGCATTTCGGTTCAGTTTAATTCTACTTCAGTTAATTTATTAGATATATTACACTGTGAATTAAAGTCATTGCTTACTGGATTATATTTTAGACACAATTTGTTGTCCATAGTCACATCAAGAGAATTGTACAACTTCAAGACATGATTTATAATCTTTTGAATTCTCTCACCATTTCTCTAATATGAGTAGTAGACTTTTCCATTTATCCAGAACAGATACTGAGTTATTCCTGTAGTCCGTGTGTAGATACTATAATGAAAGATTTAGTTATCAATCTCTACCTCCACCTCAAAAAGTTACTTTTAAGGATTGTCATTCTGTCCCACTTTATTATTTGGTTATGTATAGTTATAATGGAGTTATTTTTCTAGACTACTCGCCTTATTAGGATATACCAATTTTGATTTCCAGATATGTAGAAAATTCTTCCACTTATATCACAAAGGAAGTGAAAAGATTTCAACTATATAAACTGTCTTGAAGTTTTGAAGTTATCTTTGTATGACTAGAGATGATAACTTATGTTTGAAACATATCTAGTACATGGGTGCGTACTTCTGAGGAGTTCCATACCACGACGAAACAGCTTTTCAGTACTGCAAAATTTTCAATGGTTCCCTAACTGATGTCAGTTCCTGATGAATACTTCTTCTAAACATAAGATGTCTATTAGTGCTATTAGTTCATTTCTTTGTGTTTTAATCTAAGCAATTTAGCTAATAAGACTTGAAAACCTGACTGACTGAGAAGACTGTGACATGCTTTGAGCACAATTATTCATTACCTACCTAAGTCAGCGCTCCTAGATTTAATAAAGGCAAGTTGAATCACACCGAAAAACTGTATTAAACTCCAGACCTTCTAAATCAGCTTAGCTAACAGAAGTTGGAAATATGGAGCATTGGATCCTGACCCAGTGGCTCAATGGTAACGCGCTGGCCGTGGAACCTGAAAATCGTAGGTTTCATCCCTGCTGGTGGGGTCTTGGCTGCGCACTCCTGAGGAGTTCCATACTAGGACGAAACAGCTTTCCAGTGCTCCCAGGTTTCCTTTGTTCCTCCAACTGATGTCAGTCTACGATGAATAACATCTTGAAATAATTTACTATTATTACTATTTTTCCTTTCGGTTCCTAGTGGAACATACGGCTTCAGTAGCACGTCTTCATTGCACTCTCTTCTCTTCAGTCTTTTCAACCTGCAGCTACGACTACCAACAACCTTTCATTTCTTCCTCACATGATCTCCTCCTTGTCATCCTCAACTGGGAAGCCCAACTAGTAGTTTCCCCCTTTTGGATTCCACTTGATGGCCTGGCACGTGATGTCCCCAGTCGATCTTCTCAGTGTATCCTTAATCCATCTCCACTTTCTTCTGCATATAGGTAAATAATAGTTAATATGACTACAAAGTTTAGAAAACGAATACACTTAATTGCTTGGAATTATAGACAGATAAGATTGTAAACAACACCTCTATGGTTTCCTAATGGTTTCGAGGTTGTACTGATTTTCTGATAAAAATCCTTTGACATCATGTTTTTTATGATAAACCACGCACATTACTGTAGTACAGCAACATAATGTCATGGAATAAAGTTGTTTCACCTCACTATGTAGTCGTTAGCATCTCAAACACAAAATACTTTTATTATTGTTTAGCTATAAAAATTCAAAAGTCAGCACATTTTTATGATAAATATTGAACAATTTAAACAAATAAGACATTGAAATCGAGGAAATTCAATATGTTCGAATTATGAATGTTAGAAAGTATGTGTAAACTGATTGATAAAGTAAATGCTACATCATTGATTACTTGTAAGTAAATAATCTTGAATTATTTTATTCATAGTTAGCCGTTTCCCTTCTATAATCACTGCATACTAAAAAGGTAACTAAGAAACTAGAGCATAAATCACTGAGATAAAACTGTCTGAAAAAAGATGAAAATTGGCAAAGAATAAGGATGGAATTCGTTACCACTTCTTCATAGTATTCTTAGATTGAAATACATTGTCTTTTGACAATAATACATATGAGTATAAAGAATAATGATATTGCATACAGAGACGAATACATGAAGAGAAAGGTCATAAAAAAAATCCTCAAATGATTCCGTTAAAAAAAGCTTACCTAAGTTGGCCGTAACCTTATTTTTAAGTTAGTTTCCATCATAGAGTGATATCAGTTGGAGAACTGTTTAATACCTTACAGTACTGGATACCCACACTTGTATGAAGATGTCACATGCCAAGTGATCCACAATGGAAAACTCAGTGACGTCTTTGAAGTGAAGACAGTAGTAAGACAAGGTTACCGACTACTATCAACCATCATCTTACTGATTGTGGTCGAATCGACTCGACTGGATCATTTAAGAAATTGTAAGGAGCGAGAAGATGGGCATAGGCCGTTTGACCGATGAAAAGACCCTTGAACATTTGGATTTCACCTGTGGTGATTTGCGTCTAGTATCTTGTCGTACATACGCAAAAACTAACAAGCTGAAAGAAGAGACAGGGCAGAGAAAACAGGACTTCAAGTGAATGTAAAGAAGACACAGGTGATGAAGATACCCGATCAACAACAATAACAAGCTTGAAAAATTATCAACGGGAGCAACTTAAAGGAAGGATTTTTAACCAGACCTTCGATAGGAGGAAGTTGACAGTATCTCGTATAACTAAGCATCTCCTCTGATGTTTTTCAAACTCCTGCATCTTGTCTATTCTCCAATATTATTCCCCTTCATTCTTTTCTCCTTCACTGAAAAATGACTCATGAATGGTGTAGAACTTTGAAGATTGTCAGTGGAACTCATGGTGTATCTTTAAGCCTTCTAATCAACATAGTCACACACAAACATATACACTGATGTAATCATCTGGTAGGATTTATTTCATCAGATGACCAACATACTCTTCACTAGTTGTTAGTGGACCTAGTGGTGTATTTCTAAACTTTGTAGTTGAAATAGTCGTGGGCAGGCACATCTAGTAGGAGTTGTTTTATCATACGACCAGCATCACCTTCACTCAAACCTCTCTGTGTGTGTCACTCATCTGGAAAGACAAGGAGCAAGTAAATCACACTTTATATATGTACTACAAAATATCTGAAAAATCTACAATACTGTAAGTATTTAACTCGTCTGGTGTGAGATGAAGAGAGCATTGTAAGTGTAGTGACTAATCAACTTCCGTAATTGAAAGCAAATTAATTGATGATGAGTATATTACTACTATTTCGTCGCCAATGATGATGATGATGATGATTTATGTCTAATGTGTTGTCGCAGAAACTCGATGTAGAGATCTACAGGGGAAAAGTGACAGGTTGACAGAGTAGGTAGAGCAGCGAAAATGGGACTTCAAGTGAATGTGGAGAAGACACAGGTGATGAAGATACCCAAACAACAACGACAATAACAGCATCAACAACAAGCACCAATCACCATTAATTTGTAGAAAGCTAAACGAAGTAGTCTCTTTCACTCACACCTAACTAGGTAGAGCAGCATCATTTCAACTTCACGCAGCACAGACGAGGATGTGGAGACCGGTATTGGAGAGACAGCAAGACAGGCTTTCACTCATCTGAAATCAGTGTGGAGATGTACTACACTCCACTCAGCATGAAGAGTGAACAACATCCTGATTTTGAAGACGAATTCAGTCAAGTCAGTCAAGTGATTCTATGTGGTGGTTGAGAAACTTGGTGTTTGTCATGGAAAGCATTTCCAACAAACTACAGACATGCATCAGATGAACAGCTGCCTCCTACTCTGTCTGGATAGTGAAGATGAGATGGCGAGAATAAGGAGAATGAGTAGCGAGTAAGTCTGGTGTGTGAGTGAGTCGACGAAGCCGGAACGTATCACCGAAGAAATATGCAGTGGTCGAAATTTGAGATGGATTGAATGTGGCATACAGTGGGAGGATTGATTGAGGATATCACGTGCCATGCCATGCCAGGTGAGGCTAGGCGAGGCGATACGAGGTCAGGTCATAGAGTGGAATGTAAATGTGAAACGATGAGTTGTGCATCTCAGTTGAAGGTGACATGGAGTAGATGATGTTTGGAAGAAATGAAAGCAGCTTGTGTGGAGTTGTGGTGTGAGGTTTTAAAGACTGTAGAGAAGAGAGTGTAATGTAGGTGTGTTACTGAACCTCTATGTTCCACTCTGAATCTAAGGGAAAAATAAATATAATTATACTGGATACCCGTGTCTTCGCTAGGTCTTCAACTGTTATCGCTCCACTTCCACTGGGTGACCTCATACGTCACGGCTAGTCTAAAAACTTCGGAATATCCATCTTCAAGTTTTACCTTAATTAGTTCGTCTCTTATAGCTCATATTTTCTGAATGTAAGTTAGTGCATTTGCTAAAACCTGTTAGTTAACCTGCTTAATGCGCTTAAAATATTCCGTTTGATATAATCTAATGGGATCGAAAGTTTGAAGAATTTTCTATATGATTTCACAGATACCTTGTTAAGACAGAGTTACCTTCTTAGAGGAGATATGATATAGTTGGTGAGATATGAGACTGAGGTTTTCACAGTTACTAATTATCAAGTCGACATATGATGACTTCTTAACCCTAAAGAAAATTATAACACTTAACGCAATGTAACCTGTTAGATGATTAAAATGCAATATGGCCTATCTAGACAAAGTTACTACCATTATTTTGCTTCTGTATTTCCCAGTAGATGTAAAACAAAATAAATTTATTTCAATTGACGTTTTGTTACTTATATCAGGCATTCTTATATCAGCTGAACTCTCATTATCAAGTTCAGCAATGAAAAAGAAACGGATAAGGGGAAACTACCTTTCCTTGATTGTTTTGTTAAGTTGAAAGAAAATGGACACTAAGATATAACCATTTCCAAGAAAGCAATACATTCGAACAAATATTTAGAATTCAACTCATCACATCCAATTA